AAATAAATAAACCAATCCTGTTTCGATTGTCCTTTAATTGGAAAAAACTCCCTTGCACCCCCGAGGGTGCGTAAAAAGGAGGTGTGGCAATAAGTATGCTGGAACTCCAGCATAATATGATGGAGCTTCAATATAAGTACACTAGAACTCCAGCATAATATACTGGAGTTTCAGCAAGTATACCGGTCCAGCATAATACACTGGAGTTTGGAGCACCGGTGCTCCAGTCTTCAGTATATTATACTAGAGTCAGCAAAGTATACCGGTCCAGCATAATATGCTGGAGTTCATACACAAGTGCACCGAACTCCAGTATATTATGCTGGACCGGTCTCTGTTGCAGCAAAATAGTGACTATTTTTTATTGACTTGATAAATACTGACTATTTTTGAATGACCAGTCCGAAAATAGATTATACTGTGCTATTTTTTCGTTACCTTCACATGCTAGTAGCTTGTATTCCATTTATTAAATATCATTGGAAAACTTTATGGACTTTGACAACCAAAATCCAAGATGGGGTGCGATTTTACATGGAGTAAGGGAACAATTGTTAATTTTGGAAAATGATATTATTTTCAGAGCGAACAACAATGTGAAGAACTAAAAATGAAATTGTATAGCTTTAGCCTTTGGAATTAGATTTTGACGGAAATATTACAACTATTTTATCTAGAGTTCTCTCCTTAATTACACCCTCTTCGATTTTACTGTTCGGATACTCATCCTGAATAATTTCTTAGGGGTCGTTTGGTATGAGTTATAAGTAGATATAGTGCTGGTATAAAAATTTAATACCACCTTAATACTTTGTTTGATTAGCAAACTTGGTATAAGTTATCCAGAGATTAATATTAGTACCGGGATAACTTATACCTTGTAGCGGGTGGAGTAAGTGTCGGGATAACTTATACCTTCTTCTTAGAAATTATGCAATTGTTATTTTTAATACAACATACCAAACAGTGGATAAAAAGCAATACCAGGATAACTAATCCCAGTATAACTAATCTCATCATAACTTATCCCGGCATAAGCCGTATTCAAACCAAACGACTCCTTAGAGGTCGTTTGGTTGGGAAACAAATTGTCTCGTGATTAATTATCCCGGGATTAGTTATACCACGATTTTACCCCAACCAAACTTGAGATAAACTCATCTCAAATTTTGTACCAAAATTAATTATCATTTATCGCTCATGCCAAACGAGCCCTTAGGGGCCGTTTTGGTATGGTGGAATAAACAAAAATAATCTTGGGATAAGCATTTAGTACCGCCTTATTATCTCTTGTTTGGTTATAATGCTGGGATAAGTTGTCGCCAGATTAAAAATAGTATCGGCATAATTTATATCTGCCAACGGGTGGAATACTAACTCCAGGATAAGTTATCATAAGATAAAGCAGTAAAATTGACAATCCTGAAATTAATACAATACACCAAACATTCAATAAGAAATAATACTATGATAACTTGTCATAACATAATTACTCCTAGCATAACTTATTCCAGCATAACTTATCTGAAAACCAAACGACCCCTTAGCTCAAAAGATTTAATATCTTTTAACTTTTCTTGTTCAAACTATTAAACCTGGACTAACTATACCTTAAAACAAAACTTATTGTTTTTATTTCAAATTATGTATATTTATATTAAATGGCATCTATTATTCATAAAAGATTAGCAACCATTTCACATTTCCTTTTCCAAAAAATGTGCTGTCAATAAGCTTCTTGTCGAGACATGGAAAATATATACAGAAGGAAAATGGAAAGTGTGGGGACTGTGGGGGTCTGTCTATACAAAGTCTACAGTCAGTCAAAAGCCGCACTCGCTCCTCCTCGGACTGTGCTCAGTTGCCTTTGTTCACAAGCGTTCCTAATTTGCTAAAATAAGTTATTTCCTTTAGTGTTTCCTAATTTTCTCACTGTCCCCTCTCTTCTTCAAGCTCTGCCATGACATTGTACGGACCAGCCATTTTTCTGGGGTTTTTGCTCTTTCTTCAAATGCAGTTTTTTTCAGCAAATGCTGCTTCAGGTATACATTGTTCTCAACTTTAGTAATTTCTTCAATTTCCTCTTGTTGGGAGCTTCCCCTTTTTTTCTTCAATAGTGTTATGTACCATTACTTCCCTTTTGGGCTATGTTTTGAGTTCTATCCTCTCTTGAACTTTCTTCTTCATACAGGTAAGGAAAAAGTTTGCATTTTTATTATTATTTGGGCTTATTTGTGAGTGTTTGTTGAGGAAGTTATAGGAAGTTCCTAGATGCTATGATTTTCTTGAATTTTGTGGGGGTTTGTATTATTCTTGATTTTGTTATGTTTGAGATTCATGAGAATTTAAGGGGGAAGTGAAAGAAGAAAGGTATTTTGTGCCTGCATGTCTCTTAAGACCTGCCAATTTTCAGTGACAGTATGGTTTTTTCTTTGTTGGAAATGAGAATGAGTGCTAGCCAATGTCAGTAGTGAAGCTCAATTTAATTCAATTTATGTTTGCTTTATAAATTTCATAAGGTTCAAATACACTAGGATGCAGATGGGTCAGCAATTCTAGTTCAGTGTTAATATTGCTAATATGCATTGGTTCATTTAAATGATTGTGTAATTGCATGTTTTATAGATGTTCTCTTTTAGAGGTTGTTAATCTATTTTCCGTGTTACAATATCATACTTACTTGATATGAAAGTTGCCTATTGTTGTTTGTAAGTAAACTTAACCTGATAATGTAAAATTATTTATAATGTCAGTGCATTTCGATAAGTACATTAGCCTTGTTCCTTCTATAGACCTAGCTGCCCTACAACATCCTGAAAGTATGAATATTCTAAGTTGAAGCTAAGAATCCTTGTCTAAACTCTTCAGGTACCCTTTAATTGATGGTGCCTCATCATTTCTAGATTAGTGTCATATGAAACAAAGTATGGAATGCCTTATCTGTTGCATGTGGCATTTGCTTCAATGGTTTTCTCATTGTCGGATTTATATACTCATGATTACAATCTTCAACTTCTGCTGCTTGATCCAAAGTGAAGAATTTGATTGCCTTTTCAGATTAATGCTTTGATGAAGTAAATGCCTTTTAAGATTGTTTGTTTTATTTGCACGGGAAGTATTGTAAACTTGATTATTTTTGAGAAAATACTATAAATCATTCTTAGATTGCTTCAATGTCAAGAATGTATATTTGGAAAAGCAATGATGACGTAATCCCTATTTGGGAAATTGCAAAATAGGTAAAATATCATAGCATTTGTTTAATTCTCCGCGCATCGCGCGGGTACAAATATACTAGTTTTGTTCTAAAACAAATTAACCCCTAATTAATACTAAAATATGAAATTAGATCCTAAATGCAAATGTATATTTTGTATTTTTCATATGAATTAAAATGCACAGATAAAATGCAACAACTAACAGAAAATGACATCAAAATTCACAAAAATTGTAAAATAATAAAGAAATTTTCTTTTTTTTGTTTGAATTTCTGGGAATAATTTGCTTTGGGCAAAGATCACGTGCTCACAGCTGCCCCTCTTTGCCCGGAAACACGAAGAGTTTTCGTGCAAAGATAAGTGAGTTGAACAATGATTATCTACATTTTCTTCTACACATGCAGAGTGCCCCTTAGACATGGCTGGAACCAACTATACTCTGACTGCCTCAATCTGCTCTAACAAAGAAGAAAGAGGAAAGTGTTGCCGCTACATTAATGCCTTGATTGCAATTTCTGTTGCTCGATATGCAAACTCAACAAGCAACTTGGGGGTTAATGCTGAGTTATCAAAGATATGCCTAGATAAAATAGCAGAAACTTTCCGATTCCATGGAGTGACCAGAAATGCAACGCTGTTCTGCGGGTTCGGGACAAAAATTCCTGTGAGCTATGATTGCCAAGGTCGAACAACTGTCACTCAGATGCTTCAATCTCCCCAGTTTTCAAGTGTTACTAGAAACTGCCAAGTCCCCCTCTCGGTGGAAAGTGATTGTAGGAAATGCCTCAATGCTGGCATCTTGTATCTCCGCAATCTAGTTGGTACAGCTAATAATATCACATTTAGTACTTGCCGAGATGCAACTTATGCTGCTCTTGCAAGCCAGGTTGACAATGCATCAGCTATTGATATTGCTCGCTGTTTCTTTGGGGTTCACGGCCTTAGCATACCTCCTGGTACGCATTAATAGGGAAGTGGTGTGATTCATTATTGAAGCCTAGATAGAACAGTTGTAGGAATTATACCAAATCCTTTATGCATTGGACTAATTGTTAGCGAAATTGAATTCTTTTTCTCGAAATTCCGTTGAGTTGCTTTCAATTATCGATAATCTTTATAAGGTATTCCATTGAGGTCTAAGTCTGAGCTACATAAATGTGTGCAACTAGTCCTGTAGAGCCTCTTCTATAACTATCGAAAGATAGGGAAAAGAAAAAAAGAAAGAAAAAGGAGAAAGCAGAAAAGGAAACCTACTTCTTCTTGCTTTCGTTGTGCTGTCGTAACCCCTGAAGTTATTGCTTCTCGACACAAATCTTCTGTACCTTAATCATTAACTTAAATTAGTCATAAAATCCTTAAATCTTCTATTCCTAGACTTGAACATTTTCAGATTCTTTCCAGGAACATCCATCATTGCATCAATATCTTCTTGTGACTAGGCTCTGATATTATAGCATATTAGCTTCACTTTACACTCAAAGCAAACTGCTGTTATGACCCTTGTTTGTCAGGCAGGGAATTAGTGCTCGTTTTTATATTTCTGCATATAAATAAAATTCCATAATTATAGGTCTTTATGGATCATTTAGTGACATAATGCACTTTCAACCATATCAAAAGTTCTGACTTCCATTGTACGTCTGAACCAGTTTCAGGAACATCTCCTTCACAACTCTCACCAGAGGTCTCTCCAAGCCCTCCTGTTGCTGCTAGCCCGACTCAACTTTCCTTGCTTACGCCTGTTAAGGAAAATCGCCATCATTACCACCTTACATTGGTACCAGCTGTTGGCATAGCAGTTACAGTCGTGGCTGTCATGATGCTGCTTGTCTTAATTGTTCTGATTTGGAGGAAAAGCAAACAGCTAGAAGATTCTGATGCAACTGATAAGAAATCTTCCAAATCCTTCACGCAGCCACCGAAAAGATTCCAGGAAGGTAAAATTTTTGTAGTTCTTTTAGACTAGTTATGTACTCGTCAAACTGGATACTGCAAAATCTGTTAATTTATCTCTACGGTTCTTTACCTGTTGCTTAATTGTTGTATGAAATGCACACAGGTACAGCTTCTATATTTAAGAAATACAGCTACAAGGAGACAAAAAAAGCCACCGACAACTTCAGCACAATCATTGGGCAGGGAGGATTTGGCACTGTATACAAAGCTGAATTTAAGGATGGTTACGTGGCAGCAGTGAAGAGGATGAACAAGGTTTCTGAACAAGCTGAGGATGAGTTTTGCAGAGAAATAGAACTGCTTGCTCGACTGCATCATCGTCATCTTGTTGCTCTAAGGGGTTTTTGCATTGAGAGGCATGAGAGGTTTGGGATTCATAAATATGACTTTGTTTTTTTCCACCTTACGTTTCTGTCCAGCATTCTAAATAAGGTTACATATTAACTAGTTCACGTGTTAGTAAATCATGATAGGAAAAAAAAAAACTAGTATACAGAACATTATTAACATCTTCCGTGCAATACTGAACATTTATTATGGAGCAGGTTTCTCATGTATGAGTATATGGCAAATGGAAGCTTAAAAGATCATCTGCTTCACAGTATGCTCTTTTTCTTTGAGTATTATTTAGTAGTATGTCTTTAAGATCTGCTTCGCACTGCTAATCTGCTCAACTGTTCTCTTAATATATGTAAAGATCCAGGTAGAACTCCGCTCAGTTGGCGTGCAAGAATTCAAATTGCTATTGATGTGGCAAATGCTCTGGTAGAGTTTTGATTACGTACTATCCAATTATTATAACTTTATAAGCTGCTTAACATTCAGTGCCTCCTTATTACATTTTGCCTCCATGTAGGAATATCTTCATTTCTACTGTGATCCTCCGCTGTGCCATAGGGACATCAAATCAAGCAATATATTACTGGATGAGAACTTTGTCGCAAAGGTAACTTACATTAACTCAAGGGTGGACCTAGTTTCATTTTACTACGTGTTCAAATTTTGAATCTTTCTCTTGTTCTTGTCTATCAAATTAGTAAAAATTAACTCCAAAAGTCCAAAGCATTTTTTTCGTTATATAAGATCTGTTGGCAAGGCATATTATTCTTTTAACTCTGTAATATAATGATCACGAAGTACCTTTTTCTCTCACTTGAATCTTGTTCCAGGTTGCAGATTTTGGACTTGCACATGCTTCAAAGGATGGTTCTATTTGCTTTGAACCGGTAAACACAGATATCAAGGGAACTCCAGGTTGGGGAAAATATATTTATGAGTAAAACTGAAGCATCATTTACTACTTGATGATGTAGAAAGAACTTTGCTTTGTTATTAGGTTATATGGATCCTGAGTATGTCATCACCCAAGAGCTTACAGAGAAAAGTGATGTATATAGTTACGGAGTGGTATTACTGGAATTAATCACATCGAGACGGGCAATTCAAGATAACAAAAATTTGATAGAGTGGGCTGAAATACTCCTGACATCAGAATCTAGGATAACCGAGCTCGTAGACCCTAACATTGGAGACTCTTATGACTTCGATCAACTTCAGGCCCTTTTGGCAGTTGTTAGATGGTGTACACAGAGAGAAGGACACGCTAGGCCTTCAATCAAGCAGGTACTTAGGCTTTTGTATGAGTGTGCAGACCCGATGCACAGTGGCTTTGTGCAATCCGTGGAGGACGAAGACTATGACGAGATTGAAGGTAAGGGAAGAACAAGTAGGTCTAGGCAACACAAAGGTGAGGGAATATTTCACAGTGGTGATGGAAGGTGTTTAGCTTCTTCTTCAAGTACATCAAGGTCTTATTGTAGCCGAAGCTTCCTAATTGAAACCAGCCCTCCTCAGTCGCCACTTTAATAAACCAGCCATTTAGACCACTGTTTATTTTATAACCGAGAAATCTCCGGGTCCTGCTAGTGCATGGTTCGAAACTTGGTGGATAATAGGTCTGCCCCTCCACTCTTTTGACTGTTTAGTAACTTACAAGCAGATTTTTAACTGTAAAGCCATCCTAACATTGATAAGCAGCATGTGCACGCGACACCAGTGGCTGTAATCCATAGGTCCATGAAGTTGCTTCATTTCCATCAAGCAAGGATCTTTTTTCGCTTATAAAGCAGCCGGTGTCTACAAGAAAATTTTATGACAACTTGTATTACAGAGCCAAGTTCCATTTTATTCCTTCATGCAATTTTTTGAGGAGGGACAGACTAACAATTTGGTTTTATTTTTTTCTTGGTTGGTTTGTTATGTTTTGTAACATTCTTTAACACTTTCCGGGCTGGTGCTTCTTGCAAGTTTTTGGAGTTGTAACTTATTAGCTTGTGCTGATTCCTTAGCTGTATTGTTTCCAACAGGCAACATCAGTAGAAATATTGATACTGTTTTCACATCTTATCTGGAAATAAAAGGAAGTTTTTTTATTTTACGCGATTCTTCAATGCAGTGTTGGGGTATCAAATGAGCCCTTTCTTTTCTTGCTTTGGCTCGATCCACGCTAGGATGATAGTGTAAAGTATTTTATACCTTCATGTTAAAGAGACCTACTGTTTGACCAAAAAGTATTAACTTTTGGTTAAAACGATTATACTTGTTTATTGAAGGACTAAATCTAATTAATAATAATATCCCTAGATAAATTTTCTAGCAGAAGGCTAACGTTTAGACAGATCTGGTGTGGGGTTGTCTATAGTATTTATTAAATGCTCCAAAAAATATGAGCAATAAAGGAGATATAACTAGCAATAAATCGTAATAAATGTCATTTATGTAAATAGAAGAAGGGTTTCACCCGATAAATAATGAACTAGGTAATTATTCCTCCTGACAATGATGAGTGACAGATAGATCTTAGAATATTCGAAATATCCTTGGATCTGATGGAAAAACGATGAATAACATAAGCAAGGATCTTGATAAAAAAGTGATCTTTGTATCTTTTGCATGAGTGAAAGAATCTTTCTGTAAAGTCCGCTCTTACTACAATGAATGTCACATGCCCTTTGTTATTCTCTTTTTTTATATTTGTATGGAACATATCTCCAACAAATCTTAATAGTACAAATGTAGAGAATATTCAATGGAATATTCTCTTTAATATCCTGTCCTAATAAACCAGCCGTTACCGACCATCGTTAGCTAGCATCTCGATCGCGAGCCTCGCCATTTCCTGGTCGACCTACTCTTTTCTTGATGTTACTTTGCCCCAAGTACTGAGACAACTTTCAACCTATACACCTACAACATGTAATTCTCTACGGTAAGCCTAATTTAGTGACAGAGAAGCACTGATACTGTAAAAATAGATTGTACAAGCAATGCATTTAAGTTGGATCCTTTTCAAAATTAGACGACAAAGAGAAAACTGAGGTTGGATTGCCTTACAATTGCAATCTAGTCAGGATAGACTTAAGTGTGAAAGTTTCACAGTGAAACTCGTAGCTTGGGAAACAAATAAAAGGAAGCAAAACAAAATTACTGAAGTGAAGTGGGTAGCAGGATAACATAATGCATTCAGGATCAGGTAGAGACTTTTGATAAATCAAACAAAAATCAGCATATACTTTGTAGCATCTGAAACCCAGAGATAGCTGATGGCCCCATACAAGTATTTCAATGACTCCAAAAATAATGCAGGGGGCCAACCTATCGTCCTTTTTGATGCAAAACAGTTGGCAAATGCTCAGTCCTCATCAATATAACTATAAGTGTGGAACTACAAATCTTGCTGACAGATTTTTTTTTTTTCTGTTAAATGATTACACCATAAATATTTTTGTAAGACTAACCTGTCAATTACAATTTGTCAAATTTCAGTCTAACATCTACTAAAACCTTCCACAGTACAGGAAATACAAGAACCAGCATTTCCTTTCAGACCCCATTGTGGTACCCCACCCTCTTCATAAAGATTTACACCATATTATAGGAGACAAACCAAGTTCCATCAAGTAAATTCCTATAGCAGGAACCAAACATGGGTATGGAAACATAAGTTCTTTAAGCCTTGCCTGAACAGGGGTTGTGTGTGTGTGGGGG